TCCTTCCTGTTTTGTTTTCTGAGACAAGGCCTCACACTTCACTGCCTAGCTGAGGATTTCCCACCAACCTGGGTGGGACTCTGCGTACATACAGTACCTGGCTCCACTATTTAACTTTGAAAGAGGTCTCTTATTTTAGGGGACGGGGAGGTGGGGGGATGGGGGACGGGGGGGGGGGTTCAAACTCATGACCTTGCATTTACTAGGCAAGAGCTTAAACCACTCAGCTAATCCCTATTTTTTTATCAAAGCATTAAGACTTAAGATGCATTTCACTATATAGCAAAATACTACAAAAAGTTTTCAAAAGGGCTGTGAAAAAATTTAATACAGTTCAACTAAATATGTATGGTGTGAAGCCACAATAAAAAATATCCTGTAAGACATCACAAAGAAAACTGAATTGGCAGGCCTAGATTGTCTCAGTCTGCCATGCACAAAGTGACCTTAAAGGTAAAGGTAAATATGAGGAAGTAACTTTAGCCAGATATGGTGTTTCATACTCATAAACATATTACGGATTGTATTTAGATTTCCCCACCAAAGGCTCATTGCAGTCACATCTGGGGATTTTTAAAGGTGACTGGATCTAGGAAGTGTGATACTGAGATTAAGTATGTGGTGCTCGGATTAAGGAAAACCCACTGTGGGTTTCAGTGGCATCATTCAGAAAGCAGGTACCCTGGAAATGATAAAAAGGAAAGAGGCAGACTGCTGCTGCTGGTGGTTTCACTGCTTTGCTACCTTTTGCCTGCGCTGAGACACTATGAACTGTTTCTCATGTGAGGTCCCTCTGCCATACCACCATGCCTTCCTTGGGTCCAGGTGACCATGGACTGAAAGCTCTGCAAACTGTGGGCTACAATAAACCTTTTCTCTTTAACTTTGGTTGTCAGGTTAGCTTTGGCTTATCTCAGGCAAGCAGAAAAGACAACATAAGTAGCTCCAACTACTCAGGAGGTTAAGGCAGAAGGCTCACTTAATCCCTAATACCAAAACCAGCCTGGGAACATAGTGAGACTATCTCAAAATATGCTCTCAAAGTATGCTCTCTCAAGAGCTTTTCAAACAGACATGTAAAAACTTTCTCTCTGGAGCTGGGGATTTAGCTCAGCGGCATAAGCACCTGCCTTGCAAGCAGGCGGTCAGGAGTTCAATCCTCAGTACCGATTTAAAAAAAAAAAAAAAAGAATAAGTTGGCCATCAAGGAATTCCAGATATTGGTATAAATCTTAGGCACAAGAGGATAATACAGTTAAAAGATGCCAATGCCAGGCGTGATGACACATGCCTGTACTCCGGAACACTTAAGAGGTTGAGGCAGGAGGATCCCGGGAGTTCAAGGCCAGCCTGGCCTACAAAAGTGAGTTCAAGATCAGCCTTAACTGTACTATCAAATTCTGTGGACACTCCTGTCCCAAAAAAAATTAGTTTAGCTAGGGTTATAATTCAGTGGAAGTATGCCTGGCATGTGCAAGGCCTAAATTCTCAGTCTCTCACACACATGTGCGCACGCAGACAAAACATAGTATTAAAATTATTGACTATACCTTAAACTTGTATGTGGTGGAGCAAAAAATGTGCTAATACTTTCATAATATTAAATCAGGGGAGCCATGGCTCAGGCAAGCGGTGGCTACCCCAGGGAGATAACCAGCCAGCATCTCCTGAGATGCAAGCCACATTGGAATTTAGGGTGCTGGGAATTAAAGCAATCTGTTTGCCTCCTTGGTAAGCAGCCTTGAGTCTATGGGCTGTGAGGGCGAAGAATCAAATATCCCTTCTCCCCGCCCCCTTCGCAAATGGGAACCAGAGGTCTGAGCATCTCTTAGGAGGTTGACCATATGCAACATAGCAAATAAGGGGAATTTCCTTCTACCATCTCTTTGAAGGCAAACATTGTTATCACCGTTTTCTTTGTTCTGATTAATTGTACTGCTCTATTCAATATTTTGTTTTGATAAATGCTATAATGTTCTGTATTTGGTTTGATTTTGCTATATCTGATTGAAAGGACAACTACTGCAAAGATAGTGAGATATACTATGGTACCTAATGCTGTTATCCTGGTAACCTGCTGTGATGTTCTATACCAATTTCACTCCATTGTCTCAACTGGCTTTGTTCTGTTGTATTTTACTATCTTCAAAATAAAAAAAATTTCTTTAAAAAAATGAGGACCAGGGATATAGCTCAGCAGCACAGGAACTGCCTGCCAACCAAGTGCAAGGCCCCCAGTTCAAATTCTGATAACAAGTCATTTCAAATGTATACAGTGCACTTTTTAAAAAACCCACAAATTCAATATTATGAACATAAAGCATCTGAAATCCTTAAAATATAGAAGACACACCAGATGTGGTGGCACATACCTGCACTCCCAGCAGCTCTTTAAGAGGCTGAGAGCAAGAATTCAAACCCAGCCTACAACACATGGTTAAAGGGCAGCCTCAACTGCATATCAAGGCCTGTCTCAAAAAAAAAAAAAAAAAGAAAAAAAAATTTTAAACATAAAGACAAAAGGTAATATAGTGTGTTCCCAAATCAAATTTCCTTTTTTATTCTTTTCCAACACAGGATTTCACTATGTTGTTCAGGCTGACCTTGAACTCACTGTGCAACCCAGGCTGGCGGTGGTGGTGCTAGGATTATAGGCATGTGCCACCACTTCCAGCTGCAAGTTTGTTTGTTTTTTCTTTTTTGAGCCAGGAGTCAAACTCAGGACCTTACCTTTGCAGGCAAGGTGCTGTGCCAATGAGCAATAGTTCAAGCCCTCAAATTACCTACATCAATGTCAATACACTCACTTTGTATGTACTTAGAATGAAACCGGCATTTGGAGTCAGGACCTTTAAGGAAGTTATTACAATACAATGAGAAGATTATTAAGGTAAACTCTGATCCAATATGGCTAATACATCCTCACAAGAGGAGCAAATCTGGCCACACATATGTATAGAAAAAGACAAAGTGAAGACAGAGACGCCAGTCCATCTATAAACCAAGGAAAGAGGCCTCAGAAAACAGGGACCCTGACAACACTTTGATTTTAGAATTATAGCTCCAGAAACTGTGAGGGAAAAAATTGCTATTTAAGTCCCAGACCTAACACACTAATATAGCCTATTCTTCCTAAAACTAGATGGCATTTAATAGCAGTCCATCTTCAAAGTAATTCCAATACCACTTAGAATTACACACATATAAAAAGGCAAGACACATAAACTAGGCAGATTGGCACAGGCCTGTAATCCCAGCACTTTGAAGCTACAGCAGGAGTGTAGCAAGTTTGTCTCATCTGAGCAACTTAGCAAGACCCTGTCTCAAAATAAAAAAATAAAGAGCTGGGACTATAGGACAGTAGCAGAGTCTTCTTGTTTAATCCCCAGTATTGCTAACAGACTGATAAATGAAGGTTGTGAGTTTATGGCCAACCTGTGCTACACAGTGAGACCTTATCTCAAAATGAATACTTCAGTAAACAACAAAAACCACATTATCTCATCTATTTGGGCTATGACTGATATGAACACTCTATTACATGGCTGTATTTCAAAAGAATTCTCAATTTATACAGAAACCTATTAAAGATGGTTCCTTCTCCCTAGCAAAATTACAGTTATTACTTTTGCACAGAAGAAAGACTCTGGAAGCAGACATTTACAGGTTTAAGCTCCAGTATTGCCATTTACTACTTAGGTAGCTTTAAGCAAGTTATTTTACCTTTCTGACCCTCAAATTTCTCAACTGTAACTGGAGGTTACAACAACATTGTATGGACTGTCAATAACAGCCTGTCAAAAACATACAACATACAACATACAACAGTCCAACATTGTATGGACTGTCAAAAACAGCCATGGTAAGTACCTGGCACACTTCCTAATACATGATGGGTGCTCAATAAATGTTAGCTATGATAAGATCACTCACACAAAATGTACAATGAAAAGGTAGTTACTCATAAAACAGTAAACTTAAGACTTCCTGGAAGACAATTTTGACATATATATCCCAACATGGAGGATATCCCTCAGACATCCCTACACTCAGAAATTTAATTTCAAGAAATCTGTTCTATGGAAATTAATTAACACAGATAGGTAAAGATGGCAGAGAAAGTATGTTCTGTACAGCACTTTTTTTTTAACAGTCAACTAACACACTGCTAGTTTTTAGACTATACAAGATCCATATCTGCCATTATTTTAAAAGTAGCAATATAAAGGATCAATGATATACTACGAATAGGATCCAACATAGTAAGGAGAATAGGATTACAAATGCAGAGGGGCGGGACTGGGGATTTAGCTCAACAGCATAAGCACCTGCCTTGCAAGCAGGCAGTGGTGAGTTCGATCCCTGGTACCGATAAAGACAAATGTAGAAGGACTTGGGATGTAGCTCAGTGGGTGAGTACCTGCCTACCATGCACAAGGCTGAATTCAATCCCTAGTAACACGCGCACGCGCACTCTCTCTCTCTCTCTCTCTCTCTCTCTCACACACACACACACACACACACACACACACACACACACACGCACGGAAATGGATGTTTAAGGGTTTATTTGCAGTTGGACGTGGTGGTTCACGCTGGTAATCCCAGAACTCAGGAGGCTGAGGCAAGAGGTTAGCCCAAGTTTGAAGGTAATATGATGAGTTCAAGACCAGCCTAAACTACAAAATGAGACCTTGTGTCAAAGAGAAAAAAATAAAGCAAGAAAGAAGAAAAACTCATTTTTAACAAAAATGAACACATGCACACCATCCTTTGGATCTAATGATTTCCTGGGCTACAATTAAAGAAAACATCCCAGGTTGCAGGAATCTGAGGGCAGGAGGATGACTGTGATTTCACAATATAAACTCATGATGGCCTTAAACTAGCAGCAACCCTTCTGTCTCAGCCTCCCAAGTGCTGGGATTACAGGCATGCACCATACTGCCTGGTCTTAACAGATGTATTCTAACATTTTCTCGTTTTAAAATTCATATGGAATGACCCTAAATCAAGGCCAGCAGTTTTCTAAAGCTGCTGGTTTCAAGCAGGAGCCTAAAGTGGTATCTTTCTATGGTCTGTTGGCCATTTTAAACTTTAAAATGTAAAACAGTCAATTCATCAGATACAAACAACTCCCTTCCCTCCCTCCCCCACACCCCTTTTCCCCTTGAGCCAGTCACTGCTCAAGGTGGGCCTGGAGAAGAGGTCTGGGATTTGGCAGCCAAAGAGGAACATCAATGAGCTGCAGCCTCGAACTTCACCACCCAGGGAACCTCAGATCAAAGAACCCAGGTGCCTAGCCCAATTCCCTGCACCACAGCACAGGCAGCCAACAGAGGAAACACTTGGGACTCACCAACCTCCTGATTCAAGCACAGGAAAACAAGAAAGATGAAGGTGAAGGGTACAATCTCAGGCCTGCAGTCCACCCAAAACAGGTCCAGAAGACAGCACACAAAACAAACTAGAAGTCACACACCTGAAATTTCTGAAATGACAGCACCTGAAATAAGACAACTTACTGCTTACATGGTTTAATTAATTTTGCATGCCTATCTCACCCAGACCAAGTCCAGAAGACACAGTCATAAAGGAAATGAGAAGTCACACACCTGAAATTCCTCAGATGGTGCCAAATGAAGTAAAGAAAGAACCTAGTGCTTTTCTGTTTGAATTGACTTTACATGCCTGTGCCTGGCAGCCTATACCTAGGATAACAATGTGCATTACAGTAACTGTTGTTGATTTCCTAATCTTGTTTTTGAAATCTACTATGGTTCCCATTGTTTTGTTTCATTCTCTTTAACATTGAAAAAAAAACTGAGAAATTAATACAAAACATTGGGAAACATTTACATTATGTAGAAAAGCCTTTTAAAAATACCAAAATAAATCTATACTCCTATCTAGAAAGGACCAGAATTAACATTTTGGCATGTTTAGTGAAAATGTTTTATGAGAATCAATTTAATATCTCATTCTCCTGAAAGCATAGCAACTAGTTAGAATCTAATTAACTAAAAGATCAAATTTCCTAGCCAGATCTATTTGTACAGCATTTTTGTTCTGGTAGCACTGTCCTTTTTACAACAGTACTTCTCATTTCTGACTTCAAAGTCACCTTCAAGCCTAATGGAAGCACATAGCTCTGATTCTTCTCTACCTAGAACAATACCCATAATAAACGCTTCTGCAAGAGGTATCTGTTTTTACATTTTTCTTAACTATAAACCAGTGTAATAACAGTATTAAAAACTTGAATGGAGTTTTGGTTATAACATCTATATGTAAAGACAAAAATAAGGACAAGGACCCCAGTATAAAAGAAAAAATATATGAAATAGAACCAAATAATAGATCTCTGAAATCTAGTTGGGGGTAACAATCATTCTGTTCTAAGAACACAGCAAGTGGCAGCTTCAAACTAAGTTTACCAAAAAAATAAATGAAAATCTTTGCTGTCAACTCATTAAGAAGCAAGTATGAAAGAAGTTAAAACATTCTCAAATGTAAAAGCACAATAAAATTAAGTTGCTATTAATTTATTAAGTCACAAACTGAATACAACAAAGTATCACAATACATACATAGCTATAGCTAATTTCAGGCTTACTATTAAAGTTTTATTCTGGTAGGTTAAAATTCAATGAACAAAGAAAATATAGTTTATCAATATTGTTAAAGTACTATTTCTAATTTTTCTAGAATTGTCTGAGTCATACACAAAATAACAATTCATTTTACCCAATGAGTGAGTGTTGATATTTTTCTTTCACAAAATGTAAGTATGCATTCAGTGAAATGAGTGATGAGTAACCTTGAGACAGCACTTGGAAGACAGTCACCATGGCAACAATACTGCAAAAGTGCCTCCTCCTCAGTGAAAGGACCAACCCGATACAATGCAATTTACACAAAGCAGAAAAACAGTGCTTTCTTCAAGTCCAAAAACAAACAAACAAACAAAAAAAAAAGGATGGGGGAAAAAAAGCTGTAAAAAATGTTTACTAACATTTCTATTTTAATGTTCCCATTTATTCTTTTTTTTTTTTCTTTTCTTTTCTTTTCTGTCTTTTTGAGGTGGGGTTTCGACATGCAGTTCAGGCTGGCCTTGAGCTCACTTTTGTACCCCAGGCTAGTCTCAAACTCACAACAATCCTGCCTCAGCCTCCTGAGTGCTGGGATTATAGGCATGCACCACCATGTCCCGCTCATTCCTGTTTATTCTTAATGGAGGGAACATATCCACTAAGTTATCTTAATGATGAAATATTAGGTTACCAAAAAGTTTTTTCGTTGTTTTTTACATGGGCAAAATAAATTATTAGGTATGGTCAGTCATTTCATTTTTTAAAGTCAGTCATTTCATTTTTTAAAAAGTATCTTTTGGAACTGGAGATTTAGCTCAGTAGTACTCGTGCCTGCCTGGCAAGAGTGAAGTTGTGAGTTTGATCCCCGGTACCAAATACATAAATAAAGTTTTCAAGATAAATATTATATTATCACAGCCAAGAAGAAATAACCATTTACCATAACAAAACATTCACTTTGCAGGCAGCACTTGGTAAAGAAAATGTGACCCAGAGATGGTGAGACATGCCAACAACTCTAATTACTTGGAAAGCTGACCAGGTCCCAAGTTCAAGCCCAGCCCAGGCAACCTACCCAGTCTAAAAATTAAAAACTCAAAAACTACCAGGAGAGACGGGGACTTGGTTCAATTGCACAAACACCTGCCTGGCAAGCACAAGGTCATGATTCCAACTCCCAGTACCAAAAAAAGTGGTAGGAATATAGTTCACTGTAAAGGCCCTGAGCTAAACACTAAATGCATAGTACTTCAAAAATTAAAATAGAAAAAAAAAAAAAAAGCTCAAGGTAAACTAGGCAATTTCACAGGAATCTGTTTCAAAATGTTTTTGGTATTGGGGAGCGAACTCAAGACCTTGTGTTTACCAGGCAAGTGCTTTGAGCCGCTAAGCTAAATCCCCAGCCCATTTGTTTGTCTTTGAAGCAGGGATTTGCTCTGTAACTCAGATTGACTTTGAACTATGAAGCCCTCGCTGGGCTTCAACTCACAGCAATCCTTGTCTCATTCTCAGGAGTGCTGAGATTACAGGTGTGCACCATCAAAATGTTTAAAAAGAAATAAGATCTGCATATGCAGAGGATTAAAACTGGACCCATAAACTGGGGGTGGTGGCACACACCAGTAATCCCTGCATGAGGAAGGCTTCTGAAGCAGGAGGATCTTTGAGTTGGACAATAGCCACCATTACAGTGAGCAAGGTCAACCTGAACTGTCTCAAAGGCCCAAAAAAAAAAAAAAAAAAAAAAAGACCTATGTCTCACCATATACTAAACAAAATTAGAAATTGATCAAAGAGGGGCTGGGGATTTAGCTCAGCGGCATAAGCGCCTGCCTTGCAAGCAGGCAGTCGTGAGTTCGATCCCTGGTACCGATAAAAACGAAAAAGACCAAAAAAAAAAACAAGAAATTGATCAAAGATTAAACAGAAATCTGCTGGAAGACAGGAAAGGTTAAAATTCTTGAAGACACTGGTATAGGCAAAGATTTTATGAATAAAACCTCTATCACAAAGAATCAACAACTGGGATCTCATCTTATTAAAAAGCTTTTGAAAAGCAAGATGAACAACCAACAGAGTTAAGAGACAACCCACAATGTGGGGGAAAATGTTTGCCTGCTGTTTCTCAGAGAAAAGATTATATGGAAAACATACAAAGAACTTAAAAAAAAAAAAAACCAGACTGCCCAATTTAAGGGTCCAATCCACAAATGGGCATCAGAAGTGAGTAATATAGTTCTTAAAGATATACAAAAATAGTAAATAAATATGTGAAAAATACTCAACATTACTGGTCATTCGAGAGATGCAAATTAGAATAACACTGAGACTCCATTTCACCCCAGAAAGAATGGCTATTATCAAGAAATCAACCAATAACAAATGCTGGAGGGACTGTGCGGGAAAAGGAACCCTTCTCCACTGTGAGACAAGTGTGGGAGTGTAGACTTGTACAACCATGGTAGAAATCAGTGTGAAGATCACTTTAAAAACTAGAGATTGGCATGGGGTGGTGGCACATGCATATAATCCCAGCACTCAGGAGGCTGAGGCAGGAGGATTGTTGCAAATTTGAGATCAGCTGGGCTACAAAAATGAGTTCAAGATCCTGTCTCAAAAGACCACCCCCCCCCCAAAAAAAAAAAAAAAACTAGGAGTGGAGGACCGAATTGACTCAGCTATTCCCCTGCTGGGTATCTTCCCAGAAGTATTAAAACCATCATGCAGCCACATTTATAGCAGCTTAGTTTGTAAAAATTAGATTTTAGAAACAACCCAAATGGCCATCAACCAAAGAATAGATTTTTAAAAAGATGTGGTATTTTACACACTGGAGTGCTACTCAATCATAAAAGATAAACTGAAGGTTTCTGTAGGTAAATGGATACAACTAGATCATATTCAGTGAAATGAATCAGACCTTATGTGTAAATGCTCTATTGTAAGTATTGTTAGTAAGAGAAGCAGAAAGTGTGTGTATACAGAGATAGTTACACTAATTTCTTTTAGTTCATTGAAAAGAAAGGTTTGTGCTAACACTGGACAATTAAATGCCAATATCTTGTACTTTGACAATGTAAAGATGACAGCATTAACCACTGCCCTCTATTATCTTGTTTTGAAATTTTTCCCTTTAAAATAGAAAAAATGAACATACCAAAATGAAACCAAAAAACCAACATACTAAGTCAAAAACAAAACAGTAACAGAAAGATGAGAACTGGGGACAATAGCACACACCTGTAATTCTAGCACTTAGAGGGCAGAGAAAGAATTGTAAATTCCAGGCCAGCCTGGACTACATTAGAAAGACGCTGTCTCAAAGAAAGAAAAAAAAGACAAGACAAAACGAAAAAGGAGGGGGATATCTCTGTGGTAGAGGGCTTTCCTAGCGTCCTAGAGGCTCTGGGTTTAATCTCCACTACTCCAAAAGAAGAAAAAAAAAAACATGAGAAAGATTGGATGAGGGGCCATATCTGTAATCCCAACACTTGTTAGGCAAGAAAATCCCTGTAACATCAAGGTTAACCTGGGCTACAAAGTG